TAACGTTTGTATTATTTAAATACATGAACATTAATAACTCCCAACTTAGTATTAATGTACTGTTCAACACTTAGTCATGGGGTCGAGTGGGGCTCGAAAACGGTCTCCCTTTCATTTTTTAATTTTTATGAATCAACAATTCATCCAGTGTATCCAGTGTTCAAATATGTAGCAATTCTGCATAATATTTATCACTACTTTTCCTTGCTAGTTGGGTATTTCTCCCACTAAGGGGATTCATATCCCGATATCACGAATAAGTAGTGGAACATAATAATATGCTTATTTTATTTTGAGCTCCACTAGGTATAAGCAAGCTTCCTATGTCTCTTATTACTATTGTCATTTTTATCGATATAAGAGTGCAGTCACAGATATTGACCTATTAAGGATTACATTAAAGTCTAAACCTGTGAACTCAAGTGCTTATTCCTAGAGACATCAGGAAGGGAGGTTAGCCATTAGGCATTTATTTCTTCTTCTGTCTGACTTTTTTGTTAGTATCTTTATAATTGAATTTTCCTATTGTATGTATTTCTATTTACTATTTTCTATAGCATTCATTATCATTTATTATTCCAGTGGATACTCATATATTCGTTATTTTGAGTATCTTATAGTGGATTTTCAGCTTTCCCTGAAAAACAGAGTATTTTGCTAGCATATCACAACACAAGCAAAGAAGTGTAATAAAGTTACGAGTTTAACCCTTTAAGTACAGCGGGCGTTCTATGATGTCCTTTTTTGGGGCGATCCTAAACACCGGCGGGCAGCATAGAATGTCCCCGCCGTCCAGGGCACTTACCGGGTCCCTGCCAATCCACGCCGGTGGTTGCCATCCTGGGGATCTGCCCGGGGTCCTCGCGATCACGATATATATATATATATATTATATATATATATATATATATATATAATATATATATATATATATATATATATATACAGGATGATGAAGAGAGCACTCCAGAGGATTTTTTAAACAAATTTTATGTGTGAAACAAAGTGATCAACATTTTGACAAAAGGGGTCTTTATCAAGATGTAAATACAAGAGAATAGATTACATATACAGGGCATAGATTGTTATAAAATAATCACTTACCCAGGGCAGGTGTCCCCCCCAGATCCCTAAGTGAATGCTGTGCTGTGTTCTAGTGATCATGCGTGTGTGTGAAAGGTTTAATGTTCTTCTGGACTCAACTCCCCTCGATTCTCGATTCTCCGGTCACCACATCAATTGACGGGAGTTATTGTTTAGCAAATTAAGACACAGACACAAAAGAGTGCTTAACAAGTTCTCAGTGAGTATATTTTCAGGGCTAGCATAATTATTTCAAACATTATTTTAAAGCATAGAAAACAAAAAGAGTTAACTATTTCATATCCTTACATTCCCCTCTTTGAGCAACAATTTTGCTCATATTATTGACAAAATCTTCCCAGGACAGAGAAACTTCCACATGGTATTTTCAGGGGTGCTAGTCACTCCCTGTGGGACTTTTATTAATTTCTTCACCTCGATTCCCATGTGGTAATTCCTAAGCCCCAGTTTTAAAGATGGGTTGATACCCTCCAGTGGCAGAGAGGAGAATTTCCAATTGTTTCTGTTCTGCATTATGGATTAATTTCTGTATTCTCTTCCTCAATGTACAAGTAAGGTGGCAGTTATTTAAAATCATACACAATAAAATCAGGACTATAATAACAAGAGGATAGAAGAATGATTTCATTATCTGGGAACCAGTAGGGGACCAACCAGTAAAAGCATCGTACCAATGATGAGCTAAATCATTCTGAATTTGTGAACTCACCTTAAGGAGTTCTTTTAGGATATGTGTGGCTACCTGTGTGTGTACTATAGCATCATTATGTGTAACAAGATGTTTAAACATATTTTGTTTTCCTTTCATTAAGGAGACAATAGTCTCAAGAGGTAAATGGTCTTTAAAAGTCAGAGAGCCTAATAGGGCATTAATATGTTTGTCTAAAGTGATTGTGTCACTGAAATAATATTGGGTGCCATTAAGATCTAACCAGGTAACATTAGTCAAACATTCTGAAAAGGGGAGAGGTAGATTAATACTTGTATTACTAGTAATTATCTTTGTAGGGAGGTTAGTTGCCAAACAGATATGTCGTGTGCTTATTTCAGTCATGGTAAAATAATTTTCAGGATATATGTGCCATATGCACTTGTTAAGTTCATTTTGAAGTAAGCATGGTTCGTAAATAGGGGACGAGTGTCAACATGCATATCCTTCGTCAGTGAGAACACAGTGTTTAAGGTAATAGGTCATATTATCTTTGGGAAAATGTAGTCCCCTGTGTATGTGGGTGCCCACCAGGTTAAATTCCTGGCAAAGAGATCATAAACTGGTACTGGTAATGTGTTAAATTGACAAGCTAATTTAACATTCTTTGATGATGTATGATATAGTGTAAAATAGCATGAGCATGAAAAATGTGAAACATTACCAGTTAACCATTCATTGCATTTAATGGATTGGGGTTTTAGAAGTAACCATTCATTATCTGTGAGGTTAAGCATCCCTCTAATCTTCTCTAGTTTAGGAATCATTAGTGTGTCTTCTAATGCCAATCTTTGTTGTTGCATCCATAAATACCTGATGGCACAAGTTCTCCAGTTACCTAGACCTGTAGTGAATGTCAAAGTTGCAACAGTTAAATTACCTAAATAGTTATACATTGATTTATCTAAATCCAATCCTGTAACCTGTGATTTAACAACAGTTGGAGCCCAGTTTGCAGTAGCATGGAAACCAGTCCCTATATGCATGCTGGCCGTGTTTAACTTATTCTTGAGGGTCTCCATGTGCAGGAATTGTTGATAAAACTGAATGGTATATATGGCAATATTTCTTCGCAGTTTCCCTACCCTTAACAGGAACCTACTCATCCATACCAGCCCGGTGACAAGGTGTATATCCGTCAGCTGAATAGGACCAAGAAAGGAGGATACCCTTTCGGACCCCCTGCTACTGTGATTGCTGTAACCAGAACCGCTGTCCTCACAGATTCCCACGACATCTGGATTCATGCATCCCGAGTGAAGCTGTGTCCAAAGAGGGGAACCAAGGAAGACAACACCACTCCTCACTCGGAAACAGAAGGAGAGGTCTGCTCTGGGAGATGTGGCAATATGTATTTGTTCAATGCAAATATGAGGCTCAGATGGTATAGACACAGAGTCAGATGCAGAAGTGAGAATAGCATGCACAACAGACATAGGACCAGAATTAACAGGACTATAGACAATAGACAGATTCTGGGTATTAACAAGAATAATCTCATAACCACTTAAGCGCTGGGCTGTCATGTGTTGTGTGGTGAGATTTTTAAAGGCTGAGTGACCTGGTGACTGGTATGGAGTATTATAGGATGTCCTAGTGTGATAGTAGTAGCAGTCTCAACAGCCATTGCACATATTGCCAATGCTCTGAGACACGCTGGCATACCCTGTACCGGAGCTGGAACTACTTTGGAAAAGAATGCTATGGGACGCATACCGCCTCCATGCTCTTGTGCACAGACCGCGGCCATGGTTTTACAGTTGTCCCGAGCATTCAAATGAAATGGTTTACAATACACAGGTAGTCCTAAAGCCGGGGCTTGCACAATAGCAACTTTGAGGACAATATACGCAGCTAGCATGTCTGGTGACCAGCATACATTTTCAGGGCTGTCAGAACGTACAGCCTCCCTTAAGATTGAGTCATAATGGGAGCATTCAGGGATCCATTGGTGGCAGTATTAATCATGCCGAGGAAGGTGAGCAACTCCTTCCGAGTAGTGGGTTTAGGAATCCTCTGAAAGACCTCAATACGTTTTGGACTCAATTGTCTGGTACCTGAAGCCAGAACAAAACCTAAGTAATCAACCTTTGATTTACACAATTGCATGTTGTGTTTTGCAACCTTGTGACCCACAATTGCTAAGTGTTTGAGCAAACTGACAGTATCCACAGTGCTTGCCTCATAGCTAAGGCTACATAACAACAAATCATCAACATATTGCAAAAGGACAAAACCATGACCGGGGTCCATGTTTTTAGAGTATGTTGGAGTACCAGCGAATAAACGGCTGGGGAATCCACATAGCCTTGGGATAAGCGTGTCCAGGTATACTGACAGCCTTCAAAAGTAAAAGCCATAAGTAGCTGTGTCTCTTGATCAATAGGTATAGAAAAAAATGCATTACTTAAATCAATGACAGTGAAGCAAGTGGCATCATGTGGAATGGCTGTAATGAGGGATGTCACATCAGGGACAATGGGTGCAATGGGCACAATTAAACTATTCAGGGCTCTAAAGTCCTGAACTAAGCGATAACCATTACCTTTAGGAACTGGATTAATAGGTGTGTTATATGGGGAAACTACTGGCTTTAGTATTCCCTGCTCTAGAAAAGATTGGATCATGGGGCGAACTCTCTCAACCTTGGCTTCTGACAGGGGGTACTGTTTAAAGGTAGATAGGAGTTACATCTGTTTTTTGGGGGGGCTTTGTAAGGGGTGCAGTTGACAAATCCTACATCTAACTTAGATGAAGCCCACACAGAGGAAGGAACATCAGACAAATCAATAGTTTCAGAACACAACATAGACACATCAATACCACCAGAGGGCGTGCAAGTAATGGTAGCTCCCAGAATACCAAGAAGATCCCTTCCCAGCAAACTAACAGGACATTTAGGTATTAATCGAAAAGGGTGCACAGTAGAAGAACCATTAAGAGGACAGAAGACAGACAGTGGTGGTGTGACAAAAGTGGGTGTTGACACTCCATTAATACCCAATAAAGGTGTAGACTTTTCCCTTGTACCCTGATAATAGGTGTCACAGAGACTGGAACACGTAGCTCCAGTATCTACCAAAAATAGCAAGGATCTACCTTCTATGACCAGAATATAAAAAGGCTGATCATCATTAGTAGAGGACAAAAGTGGAAAAGTTGGAGTGTCACCTTCAAGGCAGCCCTATTAGGGCCATGGGATGTGATGGGTGTGCTGGTCAGTGGTTCCTGTGAATGTCCCTAGTGCAGTTTGGGTTTGCTGGAGTGAGGGCGGAGGGGGAGGTGCTGGCCAGTGGTGTTGGGAGTGGGCCTGGTGTTGTTCTTGTCTACCAGGCGTATTTTGAGAATTGTGGGGTTGTTGGGGTGGCTGGGGTTTCCTGGGGTGTGGACACTCATTCCTCCAGTGGCCATGCTGGCCACAGTTGAAACAAGTGTTCCTGTCTATTCCTCCTTGGTTACCCCTGCCCCTATAACCCTGATTTCCCTGTCTCCATCCCCTTCCACGGGCTCTATGTGCTCCATCCCATAATCTCTCTCGGGCCTGTGTAGGTGGACAGTGTTGCAATCCCTGAGCATAATAAGCAACCTTACTTCCTGAATCTTTTCTTAAGTCAAAACAACCTGCATTTTCCTTCTCTATAACCTCGGTAAGAAAAACTGAGCCACCCAAATTGGCCCAGTCTGAAATCAACTGTTTCACAAGCAAAGAATACTGTGGCAACATATTACCAAGGCATGGCTGTATTTTAAGGAGATCCATATCATCTCCAGACTTCAAACCTGCCTCATCCTTCCAACACTTGTAAAATCTCTTTACAAAAATCCCAATCTCTTCCTTTGCACCTTGCTTACATGCCAAAGCAGTGGATATAGACTGCTTATTCTTCCATAATCTCAACATTTCAGCTTCCACCTCGTCCCACATTTTAGCACATCCTGCTGAAGTACTAAGCTCATAAACACCATCACTACCAGCCTCACCAACTCCAGTACCATTGTCTGTCTCACTGATAGAGGGTACCCTAGACCAATCCCAACCAGAAACTGAGTCATACCCTAATATTCCATTTATAATTAACTGTATGTCTATCTGTGTCATATTCTGTCCTAAGCACATTCTTTTCAGATACATTAGGCATGCAGAGGGATTAGTACGGGGGTTTGGGGCACCTTGAATAATGTCCTTGAGTACTCCGGGATTAATGGGTTTCATTATTAACTGATTACCAATACCAACAGTCATGAACGGGGCAGTAAGATCAGCACCTTCTAATTCTGGCATCTCTACATCATCATCACCTTGCTTATGTACATATGATTTTAACACCTTGCCACTTTTAAGTTTAACTCCCGTTTGTACTGTTAATTTAATTGTACCGGGAGGTGGCGGTGGATATTCTATATCAGAATCTGGTTTAGATGATGGTTCCTGTAATTGCTGTGATTGTGAATTAACAGCTGCAGCAATACAAATATCTTCTATATCATCCTCTGAGGGGGCATTAGGTACAGCAGGATACATTGCTTTATAGGGAGGTGGGGGTTATGGTTGGGCATGGCCGGGGGCTGACTGGGTAGGGGACACAATTGGTGGTGGATATGGATTCTCAGGAGGGGCTTCTATGAGAAAGTGGATGGTATTACTGTCAACAGTTCCCTTTCTCTTAGCCAGGTCTTTCTTAGCTCCCTTTAAAACCTTTCCTGTTACACTACAAGGAAACCAATGAGCGGCTATCTGCAACCAATTTTCACCTCCTGCTTTCATATATTCCTTATACCAATCTGGATCAGGACCATACCACGGCCATGACTTCCTATCTCCCAAACACAATCCTCGAATCATAATCATATGGAAATCATCATTAGCCCCACACCTGGGAAAAGGATCAGATGACTTCATAGTCTCTGTCCATCCTGCTAAATTTGACACAAAGGGGATTGTAAGAAATTCTCCTTGTGCTCCTATTCTAGTAACATAATTTAGACATGACTCCCCTGGGTGGGGTAAAGGGTAAGAAATAGACTGATTATTTCCCATATTTCTGGCTCAGGGTAGATACACTACCTACTTTCCAATAGTGTGTTTCTAGCAAAGTAAACACAAAGCAGACACAGGGTGACCAGAGGAACGAGAAGTTTGGGCTATTCTAGATCTATAAACCGTGTTTCCTAGAACACCTATAGTCTTAATAAACCGGAGACTCCTTTATAGTCTCAAAACCTGTATCTACCTGAGATACCCTGTATCTATCTTAGATACTAACCTGGGTTACCATGAACCCTATACTAGACCAATTGTCCAGTAAAAACCGGAGACCTAGTTACAGTCTCAGTATAACTAAAGTCCTTACACCTTTCCTATCTACTGGATACAGACTTACTGAACCAAAGGGGGTCATAGACAATCAGCGTCAATAAGACACAAAAAGGCTACTTACCCAATGGCTTTGCTGATCCCACTTCAAACACCAAGCTGAAAGGGTTAATGCTGTTCTGGACTCAACTCCCCTCGATTCTCCGGTCACCACATCAATTGACGGGAGTTCTTATTTAGCAAATTAAGACACAGATACGAAAGAGTGCTTAACAAGTTCTCAGTGAGTATATTTTCAGGGCTAGCATTTATACACCGTTTGTCACGCAAGCAGCGAGATTTATTGTTTCCTTGTAGTTAATAGTACATACTTGTCTGACATTAAAAGATAAGCATTTGAATAAAGACTGGACAGGAACATCCTGAGGTCGAGCGAGGTCACACATCCTGTAGAAGAGAGGCCTCTCAAAGCATGTTACAGAATACTTCTGCCAAGGTCAGCATAATTATTTCAAACATTATTTTATTTATTTTTTTAATTCTTTATTTTTCATATTGACAAAAGTAGCCAGGTAACATTGACATTATGGCTTATGCAAAAGCCCAATAAGTCTCAAACATATTCAATTGTAGTTATACAGGTGCTAATGCAGTACAAAACCAGCGATTATAGTAGTGATATGCTTATTTGGCTACCTGCCAAGGGATATTTTTTATTTATTTTTTTGTTAATCCTTTGATTTTGCTCAATAGACACAGCGGGTTTACATAAACTTTTGGGCTTACGCAGAAGCCAACTTGAATATAAATTTTGGTAACATATTGCAGTGCAACAGATACAACATAAGCCCATTCCTTGAAAAGAAAAACCGTTGGTACCTGTCGTCTACTGAGGGTTTTACGTTTTCATACACTTCCTTTTTCTGTTAAATTCTTTATGTTCCCTTTTTGGGAATTTTAATTTTCACCATAAACAGAACAGGTGTATATACACTCTTAGGCTTACGAGGAAGCCGAAGGAACTACATAACTTTATAAGGAAATACTATGCAACCTTATCCTCGCATGCGCTTTTTACTATAAACCCTTGGGGCCCACAGTCTATTGGGGTAATTTATGTTTTAAACAAAGACAGGCCGTTAAGTAGTTCAAATAGCCTTTATCATTCTAGTACTTAAGCTACATTATTCCTCCGACCGTGTGATCCTGCCTAAAAAACAAAACAAAACAAAAAACAAAGAGAAAGGAAGAGAGATAGAAGAAGAGAAAAAAGATGGGGCAAGAAAAACCAGAGAAATAGAAAAGGGGGAGGAGGGGTGAGGGGAGGATGGGGGGGGGGCAGCGCAGCCACGTTGTTGACAATCAAGTCACCTTCAGCAAGGATGTGTAGATCTTGGGTTCATTCCCATATGTGTGAGGCTCTCAATCTCTATTCGAGCCCACTATGCTATTGTCCCATGGTTCCCACGTTTTTTGGAATGTCGTGATGGTCCCTCTCACCCTTGCCGTTAGATTGTCCATGATTCTACACTCTTTGATTCTGGAGATAACCCCTGTGAATTCTGGGCCCTCAGGTGTGAGCCACGCTGTCGCAATCACTCGGCGTGTACACAAAGTAATCTTGTGTACTAGTTTCTGTTCCCTTTTGGTCCACCCGTCCACAGATCTATTCAGCAAGTATATCCACGGATCCAATTTTAGGGGCCTGTCGAACGTCTGTCTTACCAGATCCTCCACGGATCTCCAAAATCCCCGCAACTTCGGGCATTCCCACCACATGTGGATGTACGATCCTCGGGCTCTGCAACCCCTCCAGCAATCGTCAGTCTCCAGTTTGTGCATTCTATGTAGTTTGATTCAAACATTATTTTAAAGCATATAAAACAAAAAAAGTTAACTATTTCATATCCTTACAGTGTGACCGGCGTTCATTTTCCTCATTTATTGATTATCTGCTTATTTATTTATCATTATTATTATTTATGTTTCATACTCATTACTCTTTATGTTCATTTGTCCTATTTTCACATTTCCATCTTCAGGGCACTTATTTGTCCTCATCCATTTGGATGTCTCTCTTCATAATTAATTTGTAGATTTTTGTGGCAATAGCCTTAATAGTTATTTTTTGTATAGATATTTATATATCTTGCCTGTATTCTTTGCCTTGCTAAAACACTAGCAATATACCAATATTCTTTTGGCTGTACCATTTCTTGTCCTGGCTTAAAGCCCAACACCATGCAGGATGTTTGGCATTTGCCAGAGAACACCACGAATGGCAAATTCGCCACTGGTGCCCTGTGCTCTTCACAGATGAAAGCAGGTTCACACTGAGCACATGTGACAGACGTGACAGAGTCTGGAGACGCAGTGGAGAACGTTCTGCTGCCTGCAACATTCTCCAGCATGACCGGTTTGGCAGTGGGTCAGTAATGGTGTGGGGTGGCATTTCTTTGGGGGGCCGCACAGCCCTCCATGTGCTCGCAAGAGGTAGCCTGACTGCCATTAGGTACCGAGATGAGATCCTCAGACCCCTTGTGAGACCATATGCTGGTGCGGTTGGCCCTGGGTTCCTCCTAATTCAAGACAATGCTAGACCTCCTGTGGCTGGAGTGTGTCAGCAGTTCCTGCAGGATGAAGGCATTGATGCTATGGACTGGCCCGCCCATTGCCCAGACCTGAATCCAATTGAGCAAATCTGGGACATCATGTCTCGCTCCATCCACCTACGTCATGTTGCACCACATACTGTCCAGGAGTTGGCAGATGCTTTAGTCCAGGTCTGGGAGGAGATCCCTCAGGAAACCATACGCCACCTCTTCGGGAGCATGCACAGACGTTGTAGGAAGATCATACAGGCACGTGGAGGCCACACACACTACTGAGCCTCATTTTGACTTGTTTTAAGGACATAACATCAAAGTTGGATCAGCCTGTAGTGTGTTTTTCCACTTTAATTTTGAGTGTGACTCCAAATCCAGACCTCCATGGGTTGAAAAATTTGATTTCAATTTTTTAATTTTTGTGTGATTTTGTTGTCAGCACATTCAACTATGTAAAGAACAAAGTATTTCAGAAGAATATTTAATTCATTCAGATCTAGGATGTGCTATTTTTGTGTTCCCTTTATTTTTTTTTGAGCAGTGTAGTAACCCATCATAAGAAGTGATTAATAAGAATAATATTGAATCAGTATATTAACTATTTATCTATTAAGTGGAGGGTTCATTTTAACAGTAAAATTAAGATTATTAGTACACTAAAGCTAGCATAATCTTCATTTTTACAACATGACAGGAGGCTTCATATTTTGCATTTTTAATGCTGAGAAAGGAAAAGAAAACTAATAAAGAATCTGAAAGTGCAATGAGAGACCTAGCATGTTGGGGCTAAGGGAAAAACATCCCTATCAAAAGGCCTGAACATCAGGAACCTGATGGAAAGCTACCAGACCAAGCATAAAGGTCCATCAGTAGATGTCCAGTCACGTAGAAAAACGGAGAACGACCTTGAAATCCTATAAGCTGGAAGTGGATGTCACTGTGTAGTTGGTACACAAGAGGATCCTTGTCCATCAGATGGGGACATGGGCCGTTGAGCCGTCCAAACCACCACATAATGGATGAAGATTCTGATCCAAACACCAATCAGACTGGGAATGCCCAGATAGAGAGGAAGCATCATCATGTCCTTGGGGCCCAAGAGACTCCTAAGAGGTCCTTGCAGCCTGCCAAGAATCCCAGAAAGAGTCTAGGCCACTACGGTCAGCCGACCCTCCAGGAATAGAAGATGTGGGTCCCCTTTGGGTCCATGAGAATAGTAGGATATGAATGTAGAAGGAGGTGATCCCCACCAGTCAGACACAGAAGGTCTGGGAAACAAGGTTGACTCTGTCACAGCGGAACGGCCAAGACAATGTTATTTGCTGAACAACTAAATCAGGGATAGGCAAACTTCAGCACTACAGATGTTTTGGACTACATCTCCCATAATGCTCTTACACCCATGATGCTGGCAAAGCATCATGGGAGGTGTAGTCCAAAACATCTGGAGTGCCAAAGGTTGCTATGCCTGAACTAGATGATGGAGAATTTTAAACAACCAGAACTCATTTATTGCGAAGGAGGGAAGAGCATTGGTCCCCCGGGGAGGCCCAGTTGGTCAGAGTGCAATCACCATTGTGTACCACTGTGCATTGTGCATTG